GTGTGTGTGTGTGTGTGTGTGTGTGTGTGTGTGTGTGTGTGTGTGTGTGTGTGTGTGTGTGTGTAGTTGGCACACTTTCTAACAATGCAGTTTGGAAACACTATACAATGAAAGGCAAGTTCCACTCCCCTCCTCTTTTCTCATTCGATCTTAGGGACAATTCATGTGTGAGAAGTCCTGAGTGAATAGATCTCTTTGGCCTATCTCAGTGGTCAGTGGGACTCTTGCAGTGCGTCTCTTTGGTAGTAGTGTAGCTGATATGGCAAGCTTTGTGTGAACCACGATTTTTTCCCCAAGTGCAATGTACAAAACAGAGAAGTTAGGGCTCTATTCGGATTCATGCAGAGATACCGTTTGGAGTTGGTCAGAGTTGCTAAAATTGCAGGATACGGTATAATCGTTCACTTGAAGTCCTGAATAAAGAAAAGAAGCATATAAAATATATTGCTCTTGAGAGGCGTTTAAATAGATGCATACACGTATCCGGATTGTATCTAGTATCTGAAGTAAGGTGAGATTTTGCCATTTATTGTGTAGTTTTCTTAGCAACAACAAGTGTGTTAAGGGCTTACTGTATATCATAGGAGACTATATTTTGGTCAATAGATCACTCTCCTGTTGTAAAATATGCCGTAGCGGGGATTTGGGTAAGTAGGTATTATGTACTCAGTGTCGCTACAGGGATTGGGGGCTGTGGGGGGGGGGAGAACAGAAGCCATCTCTCCATGCATTATTGATAGAAATCTCTGCACGCCCCACAACTGGAGATGCCAGCGTCACTTTCGTTTGGGTTAAACAGGCACAAACCCGGAGCTTTCGGATCTAAATCCACCACGAAGGGTCTTAGAGATTTTCAGGGGGAAGGAGGCGGCCCAGAGCCACCTGGGTACATTCATTTTTACAGCAGTGCTGTGGGCTTGGTTATTTTCCCCCTTCGGTTCCAGTGGCCTCGTCTGGCTGGGGGAGGGGGAAAGAGCACAGGACTGGGAAGGTGATTTTGTTCTTGACTCCGTAGGCTATTAAAAATTCATGGTATCTTCTCTAACACACCAGGGCGAGATGGGGGGGGGATATTTATTCCTTCGCCTTTTCAGCATTATGAATGTATCTCGCTGCAGAGTCTGTGTTTGTCTGCGGCGATGTGCTCCTGGAAAGAAACGGTCTTTGGCATCAAGTAGAATCAATTCTGGGAGCTTTTCGGAAGGAGGCTTTCGAGGGGTGGGATGTACATTTAATGTTACTAATCAAATTATGATGCCTTCGAAGCGGGAGAGCTCACGCGTTAATGGTTTTCACCTTTGTGATACAATCACTTACGCGCGCGCACACGAAATTGAACGATTTTCAATTAGGGAAACATCACTACTGAAGGCAGAGGAGATCTGCATACAATAATGAGGTGACGAATATGCCAGTTGCCTTATCTACATCGGGGAAGACATTAAAACTAAAGCCAGTCATCTTCTATAGCTTTCATTGGGGGGTAACTGTTGTGGCGCTAATTCTAACATGTGACTTTTCCTGCAGTGATCTGTAATAGCTCATTTAGGACATTGTCATTTCGATTAACATCCAACGTGTCCCAGCCTCTGTCCCTCGACAAAAGAGTGCCGTTCGCATGGTGGATGCACACTCGAGATCCCTGTAACTGACGTTATTTTCTCGGCACAGTTATACACACGGTTCCTTTGACACCAAAGGCAAGAGCAATCATGTTTATCCACATTCCAGACCCTATCCTGAGCCTGTTGAAGTCAATGGGATTTCTGCTGCTTTCTGAGACGGCAGGATTGGGCTCTAACTTTTCATATTTGAAGCCCTGTTCATTGATGCTAACCGCACTCCTTCCAGCTAAACCCAGAGAGGGTAGGAAAGATGTAAAGAGACGCATCTAATAGTTGTTAATGATTATGGATAAGATTTCCTAATATTTTAACCCATTCCTGTAATGACATTAGACAGAGCGTTCACATTTCTCTGCAACTCTTTCAGTGAGAGAATAGATATTTATGAATAGGTTTATGTTTGTGTGTGGAACCACAGAATCTCAGATATAGCTGCACATATGGGACTAGACATATGCCTATATGTGTAGCCACAGCTTATGCTATAATATCATATTGCAGTATTCTATTATAACCAATGCAAAACATAATCCTGTACCTACGGTGTCAAATCACTGTAGTCAATAGGCACCTTGCGCCCTATAGAAACGTGTATTAACATTTGTACATAACACAGACATACTTTTGCTTGATGAGCTGATCAAATTAATAATTGAAGAGCTAGCTCACTACTGTCCTTGTCTTTTCGAGTCCCCTGTGAATCAATAACACCTTTCTAATATGCATTAGTGGTGGGTCCCTGAGAGCATTGAGGGTAGGCGAGAGAGAACACCACACGCGAAACAACCCGGGGAACAGGATTCCATCAAGCGAGAAGGCTCCAACATTTATTTTTATTCCAGTCTTTCCAGCCATGTGGTTATGTCACTTTTCTCAAACCAATGTGTATATGGAGGGAGATCGATGCTGATAATGTTTAGAAGATTAAAAGAGCATTAATGCTGGCAACAGTAACATAAACGTGTGGACCCAGTTTTCATTGATCTGGAACCTGATCCGGCTTGTTTCCAGTAAAGCTGATGGCGCTGGCTTTCCCAGCACAAGACTCCCCCATGTGTGTGTGTATGTCTCGCAATCCCTCACTCTCCCCATGCCTAGTTGCGAATCTTCCCCAAACGTTGGCTAAGCAGATTGTGAAAGATAATGGCCAACATGGAGAGTCACCCTACAAACCAGGTTTCGCTTC